AAGATGAAGTCAGATATTTTCTCTCCTCTCCTTCCTGACTAATTGCAATACTTGTTCATTTTTCTCAGTGAAAATACCAAAGCAAACCAAACTACCTGTTAACTGCACTGTTCAAGTTTTTTCTTATGCTGCAGGTCGGCAAGGTGAAAAGATCTTTGATTTGTATCTTTTTTCTTTTTTTTTTTTTTTCTTTTTTGTCTTTGCTGTGACTCCTTAATTTTCAAAGATAAAACGGTCTTGCCCCGTTTCTGAACCTGTGAGTGTCAGTCGGGTGGCTTCAGTATTTTGGTGCAGGCTTGTGGTGGAGCTGCTGAAATAAAGATCCTATATGAATTCAGATGAGTTGTATTGAAGCTTTTCTGTAAAATGTGGAAACAGGACTTGATAGTCACAACCCTGGTTAGGCCGCATGCATTTTTGGATATCAGTTTGTTTTGTTTTTTTTTGCATTAATGCATCTTATTTTTAAGGATAAACTAGGTTTTTTTGTGTTTTTTTTTCTTCTTTTCTTTAATTTCCCTCTTTTGTTTTAAGCAATTCATTTTAAAGTGATTTTACTGTTTTTTGGTATTTTATCCCCCAACCTGCTCAGTTTGGGATTTCTCCGGTTGAATTTCAATCTGAAAAGTCGCACCTGGGCCGGAGAGCGCAGCAGGCAGGACATGTACTGCCGTCTGAAGACATGGTGATGACTTCCTCTAAAATGTGGAATCAGGTGTAGCCCAGTGTTAAAAACACAAGTAAGAATGAATAAATATTGATTTCATATCTTATTCTATAATAGTATTGCATCAGTTCCTGACAGCTGTTGGTTGCTTCTGCTTACAGCCTGCAAAATTAGATGGAGAAACTTAGAAATCAAAAGTTTCTGCTATGGACGGATTGAAACTTGCATCATGTAGCATCAGTCAGATGTTTTTTTGTTTGTCTTTTTTTGTGGTGCCATAATTAAAAAAAAAAAAAAAAAGAAAATTTTTGTTGCGAAAGGTTTGGACTCCCTAAAACAAAGTATGAACACTTTGAGTGTTTTGGATTGAAGAAAGTCACAAATACATTCAAACTTGTATGACGGATTCTTGTTTATTAAAATAATTGCAGTCATTTTCCACATCCTGGAAAAAACAGAAATGTATATAATAATCACACTGTGAGGAGTGTATGTAAACTGATTACCGATGTAAAAGATAGTTGTGTGAATCCTAGTAGCTGCTTCCCGCAGCTAAACGTTTTCATGATTCAGAAACTTTGAGGAAAGTATTTCTTTAATAGAGGAAACTAAATTCTTTCTGTAGGATAAAAACAGCTGAAATCTCAGTTCAGATTTGAATTACTTTCAGTTTTTTTTTTTTGTTGTTTTCACCGCAGGTTTATCTGGACGGCTCCATAAACCTGCAGAACGAGCCTTCGGTACGCAGAGACACGTGTCCATGTTTGAACTCTTATAGCACATCTGCTCTTTTGTTTGCTCCTCTTCTCTGCTCGGCGGGGCCCGCTGGTTTTCCTGCTCAGAGCTGCTCTTATTTTTTTTCAAATTCTCCCTCCAGCAGCCAGCGTGGGGAGTGGCCTCTTTGTTTCAGCACGTGTCCGCTCCCTCCTCCGACACACACACACACGCATTCCTTTCTTTGGAAGCAGATCCCGGCTGCATGACGGGCCTTGACAAGAATTTTAACAGTTCTCTGGGAAAAAAAAAAGAAAAAAAAAAAAAAAACAAATACTCAGAGCTACTACGTGTCGTCAGAAACGTGACCCATCCGTTGCAAAAACACAGAATCTTTCAAAGTATTTTTGATCCACTTTCTATCTTGGTGCACCTGAAATGAGACAAAAGCTTTTCAGTAAGACCAGAGCTTGTTTTAAGTCAATCATTTAAAGAATGTACTACTTCCACTGGCAGATTATTTCATCTATAACATAGGAAAAATGTCATTAGTAAAATAATTTGCCAGTGGATTAAGTATTTTTCAACATTATAGAATTATTGACTTAGAACAAGTTACCTGTAAGTTAGTTTTGTCTTATTTCAAGTGTACTAAGATATTTGCCCTAGAAACTAGATAATACTGAACTTACATAAGGTTTATTTGTTTTTTCCAGTGGAGAGCAAGTGTTAGAAAAATCTAATCAAACAAGAACTGATCAAAAAAGCACACCGTCACTCATTACAAGAAAAAAATATCAAAACATATACATTTAACCCAATGAAGTAAATAAGTCTTTAAAGACACATTAAATTCCCCAATGGATGAAAATGTTTTGAGCTCAGTGGAGGATCATTACTTTGAAATCAATTAATTTGAGTAAATTCTGATCAATTCTGGCATTTTTAAAGGGAAAGCCAGTTCAGTTTTGTACATAAAAACATCCCAGTGTAGTTTTCTGATCAGGTCTGATAATATGCAGCTTGACTGCAGCCATAAAAAGCTTCTAGTAAAACCCAAAGCTGGAATTGGCTGTTTTACTGGCACTGGCTTGACTTAAAACACTTTTAACATTTTTGATAAAGTTGAGGTGAGGTAAAGTTGAGCTTGGTCTGTCCCAAGACGTTCTGGTGTGTTTTGGATCTTTGTCCTGTTTCAACATGTAGTGTATCAGTGTCAACCACCTAGCGGCTAAGTTACCTGATGACCCACAGCATGATACTATCACCCACATACTTTGCTGTTAGAAGCCTTATTGTAGTTCCTCAAAACTTACTTTATCATTTTAGGCAAAAAGCTTAACCTAGCCATTGTCTTCCTATGCAATTCTGCTCGATTCTCATCTCCCTTCAGTATAAACGCCTGGGATTTCTCCCATTGAGAAATGGAGTTTCTCCAGGATTTCTCCAGTTGAATTTCAACCAGACCAATCAGTGAACAGAAAGAGAAGTTGTGAACTGTGACATTGTTTTGTTGCACTGTTTTATTATTGTAGTCTGCATATAGGCTTGAGACAATTTTTGTTGTTCGCTGGAGTGGAAGTGTGGCCAACACAAAGACGTTCAGGCCGTAGTGATTGGAGCAACTTTATTTGCTCCAATCACTGAGCAAATAAAGTTGTAGTAAGAGGGATGCAAATAAATGCTCGCACGGGAAGCTTCTGTAGCTGCCGCATTTCAAACGTCATGGCTAAACGTTAGCGATGAGGTCAAATCAAATCCAGTCATTTAAAACCTCGACAGCGTCCACGGCTCCCTTCTGAAATAATGGCCACAGTCTTTTTTTTTTTTTTTTTTCCAAAATATAATTTAGGGGAAAAATTTTTACTTTTGTCTAAAATGACTTATGCAATTATTTTAGGAAGGTGATGATATGTACGTAGGACAGAAGCTGTCCTTTGCATGTATATCTGTACTTTGAGGTCCCACAGAAAAAAAATGAAATGATGCAAGGCTGAACCTGGCACCAAAAATCTCCAGCCTTGCTGCGACCTGTAACCACCGTGTTGCTGAGGCGTTGACAGTAAACTGACAAACCAGCCAGTAAATCAACCAGCCTTGCAACCCGACCAGCAAAGCATGCAGTCCATGCACGGGTGTGGCCCGTGGGTGAGTAGGAATGAACTTTGCTTCTGAGGGTTTTTCAGGAACCGGTGCTTTCTGCACGTCTCTTTTGCGATTGATGATATTGCCACATGCCGAGGATGTTTTTATTCCTCCTTGTCAAGAATGCACACAGCAGACCAAAAAATAAAAATCAGTCGTCGCCCGTCGTGTTGTTTGTTAAGCTTCCTCTATTTCAAACTGGCGCGCCTCGTCCTCATTGGTCCGGCCCTTCCCTTCACCACATCCTGTTCTTCTTACTCAGCTGGTGTGGTTCATCACATGGAAATGTGACTCACAGTTCAAAACAATGAAACTGGTTAAGTTTTTTTTCTTGTGGGGAGCCAGACATGAGCCTCTGCACAGCTCTCATGCTTGTTGCCTGTGCAAGTCGAGACCCCAGATTGAGGAGCGGATCACGTCAAACAGCTGTAGCCGGGTCAGGCAGAGCGACTGGACTTCACTTTCACATTGAATGTTCACGGAAAGATCTGGTTAATTATTAGCTGTAGTGATTGTCTTTAGCTGAGGGAAAATGTGCGTGATTACCCAGAAGGTGTCACAGAGATACTCTTCACTCACGCATGTTCTGTTTCATGCAACATGACGATGTGGCTTCTTAAGAGCAGCCCTTGTGATTGAAGCCCTAACGGTGGTTTGCCTAAACCCATGTGTTTGCGTTTTCGTCCCAAACCATGTAACAAACAAGAAGGTTGTTTTGCCACATTACAGCAAAATGTAATTTTTTTGGCGATTTGTAAAATGCCATGTGTTGTAAATTAACACTACGCCTCTCTGAACACACAACACATTCGGTGAAACATGGTTTAGGTAGCATATAGGCTGACACATCAAAGTCACATGACCCTACTTTTGTAACATGGAAAAGGTCTTTTTTTTTTTTAAAGACATTTCAGATTAGCTGCGGTCCTCACTACTAAACAGTAATGAATTTTTCTGAATCGAATACATGTATTGTCCTGATCCATTCTGGGTGAATGAGAGACAAGTAAAACCACCAGGAACACAACATCCTCATGACTTCTGCATTTCAATGGTTGTGGATTTGTCAGGAAAGAAGATGAGAAGACGACTGCAATGGAGAAATGAATGTGCTCTTTCGATTTTTTTTCCGCTGTCACAGCAGTTTAACCTATAACGCGCGCACGCACACACACACACACACACACACACACACACACACACACAAATATGCATTAACTGAGCAGAGCCTCTCAGGCTGAAGAAGCAGCAGCTGCTTGATAATCAGTTGTCTCTGCTTGTCTTCAGGTGACACTCAGCCTGAAACCTCCTGTAGACTTTCTTACATTTTAGAATTTATTTTGTGCAATATGATATAAATATAAATATATAAATGTTTGACTGTATCCGCACATGTACAGCTTTAATTCGTTTAACAGTAGACAAAATTAGAAAAAAATCTCGAGCACCCTCTGCTGGTTAAAACATCGCATTGCAACAACCCCGGTTAAGTGATCACCTGACCAACGCGGAAGTAAAGATCCCGAGGATGCAAAGTGGCTCTTTGAAATGGTTCCTAGATTCCGAGCGGTGTTCCAGAGGTTTTTGAAAGACGTTTTAGTAAAATGGTGCGGTGCTTCCTGATCCACACTGTGTGCCCAGTCGGCGCTCTGACCGCCGGGGAAAGTCGGGTGCTTTACTCCCGGCTCTTCGGTCCAGACGAGGTGGTTCTGTCCAAACAACAACGCGAGTTCACCCCGGAGGAGAGGAGACTCCTGCAGAAGGAGAAGGTTTCTGTGGTGGCCAGGTGAGAACTGGGAGTAGTTACTAATTATTAATCCCAAACAAGAGTGACACCGTCAGAGTGGTGAAAACGACATGAATCGGTTAGAAACGCAGAAAAAGCAGGAATGTATTTGTTCTGTTTTGTGGTAACAACACAAACCCACATGTCTAATCCAGGTGTGTCATCCTTACATGATTGGTTATTAGCCAACATTTAAGCATATTCAAAATTCAGATTTTTTTCCCTGTTCATTAAATGCATCAAACACTAAAGCTATGTAGCATGAAGAGTGACCGATTGCAATAAAGAACTTGTGAAGTAATTTAAATGTCATTAATTTACAATGTCATCATCGTGATAAATTTCTTACAAGATTTTTGATTCATAATTTGTCACGATAAATTCCAGTTAATGTAAAAAAAAAAAAGAAGAAGAAAACGGACCAAAATTATTTTTTGTTTATTTTGTATACAGTTTTTTTCCTCAGGAGCTTCACAGGGTGTGGAAAAAATCTGATTAAATGAAGTTTCTATATGCAGGTTAGAGATATAAACCACACTTCTTTCATTATGCGGCGTCTTGAAGAAGCTTATTTGAAATAGCGAAGTGTTTCAAGAGCAGCATATGTTAGTGGCTCCATGAATTCGTAAAAAATTTGTAATAGTTTTTTTTAAAAATCTTTTTTATTGTTATCACAATAGTACTACAAAATATTGTAAAAAATTTTAAGTCCGTATCGCCAACCCCTATTCATGTGCAGAAGCACTAAACTGTCAACTTCACCCTTCAAACCCAGTGGGCGGGACTATTGCTGCTTCTACACAGACCTTGACGCCTGATTGGCTACTTCTAACAGCAAACTTCTTCCTCGCTTTACTGGGAAAGTGTAGAAAAACACATTGGATCCACCTTCAAAGAATGTGCAGCACGTATTTGTAGAACGGGGAGAAGAGACAAGGTCGCATCCAAAAACAAAACCAGAAATTGGTAGTATTGGGTACGAAAACCGTGATCGGTGCATTTCTATTCTGCTGATGCTGCAGCAGCTCCACACGCACACCCAATCAGTTTCTCCCTTAGTTTAAAGTTTTACTCATGTTTATTTACTTAAAATAACTTCTATTATTCATTGTAAATGGAGCCAACCCCCAGTGGATCTTTACAAAATACTAATAGATTCAAAGTTAATTCCATACATTTGAACTTGCTACAAAATAATGCAGTTTAGTTTATTATTCGAGTCACTGACTCCTGCAACAATCCCGCATGTAGAAGAAATGTTTATTCACATTTTTATTTATTCAGCAGTATTGTGTCTGCTCATGGTTTTTTCCTGGATCCTGAGGCACATATTTAAAAAAGGAAAAAATGAAAAAGAAAGAAATTCCTGCCAAGCTGCATCAAGGCTGGAGGAGGCCGTCTGTCTCCTCGTTCGTCTCATTTCTGTCCAGTTGCAGCAAACGTTGGAGAACCTCACTCTGGCTGGTTGAAGCCGCTCTGATTACCTGATCAAATTTTACAGTCTGTTATTTTTTTAAGTTGGCGTTCTCTTTGACTTGCTCATGAAATCAGTAACATCGGAAAATTTAGAGGGAACGAACAGAGAACAAGTCTTTGTCATGTGACCATGCAGAATTATTTTCACATGAACTTTTTTTTTTTTACATCTTTCTTTTATCTGGTAAAAATTACAATTTCATGTTTTTATTCTTGACATTGTTACTACAAAATAAGCATAGCACTTTAATAACAAATATGTTATAAATCACATTTAGGGGATGCTTTTCTTGTTTTTTGCACCTTCATTCTTCACCTTCAGTGAAGAACATGTAACTTTGAAATGTATATGTTACATTATATATGTATGTATATGTCAAGTGACCCCCACATACAACATTGAGTTATTTCATCAGAAATAATCATGCAGGAATGCATAAACTGAAGGTTTATTTATTTCAGTGATTACACTGGTTAGCCAGTAGGGGGCAGTGTTTAGGGTCCAATGATCTCCAGCTACTGTAAACTCACATAAAAAAAAAGCATTTTTTGCATTCTATGTTAAAGTTTGTAAAGAAAATTTTGAAGAGAAATATTTATTTTGCTATTTTGAGCCACAGTTTGAAATGTCTAACTAACTATGATGCCCTTTCTCCTACGAAGGCGGGTCCGAAGTGCCGTCTCCCTGTCACGGGAGGCTAGTGGTCGGCAGCTGGTGGACGCGTTGCCGGGCGACGAGGCTCTGGTCCTGCAGGACGCAGACAGCGGGGTGGTGCGTCTGAGAGCGGGCGAACCTTTCTCTGAGGAAATGAGCGTCCTGTGGCTGGGGGTCCAGAGCCTGGGCTTCACGCTGGTCTGTGAGCCTCACGACAACCTGCTGCTGGCCGAGGGCGTCTTAAGAAACCTGACCAGGCACTGTCTGGACAACCTGCACATGCTGGGGCAAGGCAGCGAGGTGAGCAGGAGGAAGGGTTATTACTAACCAAGTGATAAAGAATAGTTTGTCAAATTTGGACAAGATTCAAATGTGGTCCTGGACAGAAAGTCTTGAAACTTTTTATACAGAATGTTTTCTGATCATATCCACCACCAGCAGTACAGCGCAGGACTTCTTATGGCTTCAGCCCAGATTCATATTCCATGTAGTTTGTAGTTGTAACAAACTTAATGGAGATGAAAATCTTTTGATCTCCAATTTTCCCTCCTTTCAGTGTTTTAAGCCAACACTTTAACTTTTAATTTCTCCTCATGTTCAACCATTTTTTTATTCTACTAGATGTTATGTTATGTATTTTCATAAACTAATAACTGATCTATTCATCAATTGCAGTTTTCTGTCTGATCACCAATCTTTAAAAATCCTGACCCACCAAATCCAGCTGAAAACCTTTTTTTTTGTCTGTAAAATGGCTAAATATTGTCGCTGAGTTTGTCTGAGTTCCAGACAAAAAGAAGGGATTTGGTATGAAGCCAAACTGTTATTAAGATACTTTTTAAGGATTTTGTTTTAAATACATAAGTTAATTTTAGTCAAACTCCAGTTAACTACATAATTCAAATGTTGAAAGAACGGTGGGAAACTTGAGCGCTTGACAGAAAACCTTTTTTTCCCTGAGATCTGTCACTCAGCATTGAGATGAAACTTAAATGGATCTCTGACCATAAAGGAAATCTTATCCTACCTGACAAATCCATCCTTCCTCTAACGTCTGGTGGTGGCAGCATCATTCTGTGGGAATGTTTGACAATAACAGATTCTTAAAAATGTTAGTTACTCTCTTTCAGAAACATAAATAAATTCTTCTCCTGTAGAAAAAACAAACTTCCTCTCTGTTAGCAAATCTAGAATTGTCACCGTAGCAACCATTCTCCTCCAGGTCCTGCTGAAGAGCAGCCGGATCGACGTTCTGCTCAGCCGCCTGCTTCCTCATGGCCAGCTCCTCTTCCTCAACCATCGCTTCGCTCAGAGTCTGGAGAAGGAGGTGGCGTCTTCCATGGCCAAATGAGGCCAACAGCTGCATCACCTCCACCTGCCAGCTGGAGCTCGATAACCGCCAGCTTTAACCAAGACTTGGCACCAGAGTTTACTTTTGGTAACGTGTGTGTGTTTGAGAAGCGGGCCAGACGTCTCTCTGCTGCTGGAAGACGTGTAAACACAGAGTGAGGATCATCTCCTTCTGCCACCTTCACTGGTTCCTCACTGTGGGGGAGGCTTCGCTTTCTATCCTGTTTGTCAAATTCAAGAGCGGAAAAGTAAAAAATAAATAAATAAATAAAAATGGCAGCATCTTAAGTGCAGCTGAGTGAAGACTGGATTCACCAAACTCAATGTGTCATGATGTGGCCAGTAGGGGGAGCTGGATTCCTGCTTCCTGCTGAGAGAGAAGAAGAAAGTTGACCAGTTGGTGTGTTTGAGTCGTATAATAATAATAATAATAATAATAATAATAATAATAATAATAATAAGTAAAGGTGTTGAGCATGCTGTACTAGAATCAGTACAGAAAATGTGCTGCTTGAGTTTTTGTTGAACTGATGCTGAGTGTCTGAAAAAGCCAACTTTACATTCTTTCTTCTGTTTTTATGCCAACATCATTTCAAAAGTGTAAATGGTCTCATTTTCTTGTATCTAAAATAAAATCTTTGTCTTGTATTTGCTGTGATCCTTGTTTTGAGTCTTTAACGTTTTGTTGTACTCCAGAAAACCAGAGGAAATGATCAATTCATCAAGCCATTTTCTTTATTTGGTATCTAATCTTAATTTAACCATATGAAATATATATATAACTGTTTGAATTGTTCTCATGGTTAAAAAAATCCAAAATGATTTATCTCCAGGATTGTGAAACAACTCGCTGTTGAAAACAGGCTATTTTACACGTGGACATCCATTCACAGTTTTTTCTTGTTTTTAATTGCTTAAGCGCCGTTTTTCCTTTTAAAAACACTCAATTAGCACAGCAGCACCTTGGATTATTTGCACAATGGATCACTTTGGTTAAAACTGCAACTTATTAGAAGCCAGTTTTCTTCTGAAAACATCCGTCACATGCGCTGGTTCAGTTAAACTCTCCTGTGTTTATCTTAAAACACTTGATTAACAGCGAGAAGTTGAAAACATAATTTCACCAAACCACATGACACAGACCAGCTGAAACATTGTTTCTCTTCATGTCACGTTTCTTTTTTTTTTTTTTTAATTACTGAAGTTGAGAAACAAAAATAGATCACACTGGACATGATTCACCTTCTGTTAACCTTAAAATTTCACAATTTTCTGACACTGTCTACTGATCCTGTTGGACCATTTAGAGATCAATGAGACAAACATTTACCTACTGTAAATATACATTTTATGTTAACTTTCATATTGAAAAACATTTGAAAAAGTGGAACCTTTATCCTGAATGAAGTATTTATATTGTAGTAAAGAAATTCAAAAAGCCATTTTTAAAATGCCAGAATTTGCACATATTTTGTCTGAAGACATTTTAAAATATGCATTACCAAATGTGTTTTTATTAGAGTGCTTTCTTGGAAAACTACTTTTTATCTTTACTTGAGTATAATTTTTAGTCACTCTGCTCCCCTTTAATTCAGAGACAGTTTTAATTTTAGTGTCTCAGCAATTGCAAGAAACTGTAAATGAGTTAAATACTCAGTGCTGCCACCAGGGGGCAGCATCAAGCCAGTCATGACAGGTGTTGCGCCCTGTTTCCACTAATAAAACACAGACTAACACCAGAGCAGAAATCCTTCCTGTTGCAAATATCCCAAATCCTTCTGCCTTGAAACTATTTCAAACAAGATGGCTGACACCAAACAACCAGCATTTAAAATTGCTTCTCTGTGTGTGTGTGTGTGTGTGTGTGTGTGTAATTATATGTAATTAGTGATGCACAGAAACAGGAAGATGATCCTTGGCTTCAAGCAGCTGTTTGATAAAATTGCATGAGTTAATGTCAAGTGGAGATTAAAATGTCCGGGTCTGGCTGTAGATTTGTTCCGTGCGTTGCTCTTTCATTGGCCGTGATTGTAAATGCAAGCTTGTTGGCAGGATTATTAATAAGGTTTACAAAAAAAAAAAAAATCTATTTATAAATAAACAAACAGAACAGGTTATTAAAAGCTTATAAGTATGAAATCCCATGGATGTTTTTACCCTATAAACATGCTAGATTAGTGTTACAAAGGGCTAAAAAAAGATTATGTAAGTTTTTCTATTATAAAATATGCAGGAATAATTCCCTAAATTATACCCAAGGTTCCCTGAGGTTCAAGTTCTTTTGGGTAAAAAAAAAAGCTTTCTGCATATAATGAAATGGAAACCAACCCTTCTTGAGCTTTAGTGGCACAGGAGGACTGCAATTAGCTGCAGCACAAAAGCAATCGGAAGCAATCGCAAACTTTGCAAATCGTTTTTTTAATAGCCTTACACTAAAAAAAAAAGAAAAGAAAAAAAAAACTAACCAGATGGTGAGCTGGCTCAAGACTATCAAAGGCAGCAAAGGTTAAACCGTGTGAAGCCCCAGAGCTGCAAGATCAAAGGTAAAATCTGTTTCCTGCTTAGTTTGTGACTGAGGCAGAGGGAAGATCCTCCAGAGTCTGCTGGAGAGAAGAAAACAAATGACTGTGCAAACATTCGTACTTATTTTTCTATAGCTAGTGACAATCCATGTTTTCATCAGTGGTCTTCTGCTTGTCTGAGATTGGGTCACAGAGGCAGGTGCGGAGCTATGGGGGAGGGCTGCTCCCCATCCGGATGGGTGCCCATGGTGGCCTGGGTCTGGGGGTGCCAGGGAGGGAGGAATGGTTTCAAGTCACTTTAATGTCTGATTATAGACAGAGAAAGTGCGCTCTCACCTGTTCAGAAAGGTGTATGTAATGTTAAAGTTACCGTCCCTCAATGGAATTTAAAGTAGTCAGTCCCAGTTACTGTTTCACTCACGGTTTAGCCAATGTGCTTCCTGGGTAAAAATCAAACGACAAACGCGGCCCAAACCCCTCTCCTCCCCCCAATAACAAGAGCTACTGGTAGAGTAGTTCTGACTTGTTCTTTTTGTAGTCTTTGCTCCTATCTTTTTACTTTTGGTCAATTGTTATGATACAGACACATGGCATCTAGGTTATGTATTGTTTTTACAACCGAGAGCATCATCTTAAATCTCAAATAATACCTGACGTGGGACAAATCCCAGAGGAGTTGAAAAGGAGGCAGAGCTGGACCAAAGAGCAGAGAGAGGAAGAGGAAATTCCAACCATCTCTTCAATCCATCATCGGCTCCAACGTCTTCTGACATGCAGAAATTTACAGAAGAGCAGCAAAAGCAAATGAGGGGGATTATCCCGTTGGCATTTAGTTGGTATTTTTTAATATATTTGTATTGTCTTCACCACACACTTTGTTGAAAGCAGGGGAATCCAAAATAACGCTTTATCAAGTGCAGAGGAATACAAAACGCACACCTCTTATACAGGCCTTTACCCAAATCTGTGGGCAAATTAAATGGTCACAGAGGTTTGTTCATCTTCAGACAGCCTCCTCTGTGGACAATGACTTTGCAATCTACATCAAGGGATTTTTGGGAATTTGAAAATTTTTGTAGGAATTTTGTGAAGAATAGTACAAATGTACCTAATTCCTCACCACATCTGATAAACGTTCCTCAACGTCGATACAAAAAACCACTAGTTGAAGCAAAATATCAACATATTTCTGTATATATATATATATACTATAGTTTGTAGTTTGGTCCAGGCCGAAGAAGCCTTCCTACGAACAAGTAAGAGCCAATTTTGACACTTGAGGCAGGTGACCTGGGTGTACAAACCGGCATCCCACTGGTTACAGGACAAACTCCGACCTCCATTGCCCTGGCAATACCCTTTAAAGCATCTCCTGGCATCTCACACCACCCCTCATGAAAAAGTCACAGAGGACACAGTTGTAAACAAACTTGGACCAGACAAGCAAACTCCTTGAGAGTAGAGATACGGTCCACGATTCCACAGCCAGGGTGAATACTTCTTTGGCTTTCATTGGCTATAAGCTCTTTTCCTAAATAACCTGGCAAACCCCTTCTCTTTTTTTCTCTATTATAAGCTGCCCTCATATTCAGTCATCATCCACGCAAGCTGACCAGACCAAAGCTGACATTGTCACAGCCCATCTTAGTCACTCTGCCGGGCCCTTCTTCCTTTTGTCCTCTCCTTCCCACCTGCCTAAAGCTCCGTCAAAAGATTTTCTTATTGAATTTGAAGACCGACCATTGAGAAAGCCAACTCCTGAAGATTTCCCCTCTTAATATTTTTTCTCCTGCCTCATTAGATGTCTCCCTGACTATTGTGTGGCTCATGGTGAGAGCACAGCGGAGAAAATGGGCTCAGCCCCAGTCAGTGATACAATATGAATTTTAATGCGAGATGACGACTTATTCACTTTAGCCTCTGTCAGGGCATGCAGCGTGAAAGACCTAAACGCCGCTGCTCCTATTCAAGTACATTAAGAATCATTTCTATTCCCTTTCATATGTACATTTTCTAGAATTTCAAATGTTCCTCTCCTCTAAAGCTATGGCTGAGCGTCTGCTAGAGAGGAAGTTTAGGAATACTCACAGAGACAGCTAAATGCTATTCATATCAAGTGCCAGCAGTGGTTTCTGCATTAATGGTGTCTTGGGCAAGCCAGTTCTCCTGAGCCAAACACTTTTTTTTGCCACATATATGAGAACCTGGAGAACAGATTTCCTCTTTGAAAAGGTTTCAAAGATCAGAGTGTCACCAGATTATCTTAATCGATGGTCGTCCTAATGCCTCAAAAGGAATAACTTTTAAAAAATCCAGTATACTTATCATTTTATATACAAAGTGTTTTAAGCTGTTTAAAACACAAAAGCCTTTAAAGACTGACAGAGAATTAAATAGGAGTGGCAAAAGTAAATGAGGTGGATTAGCGGTGCTTGCCATCAGCTGATGGTGTCATACTACTGAGAAATATAATCTCTGCTGTCTAGGACTAGTTGAACATGTTGGCCTAAATATGTTGTAATTTTCCTGTTGACTGAAAAATTGCTGTTTGTGATGCACCAAAACTAATAATTACTTCAAAAATGTACATCTTAGGGTTAGGGTAAGACATGAGTCTTACCCTAACAAAGACACGAGTGAAGGCAGTGACATCAAAGGGCCATAAAACCATATTACTGTGCCTCCTGGCAAAGTCCTATACAGGTGTTGTTTATCCAGGAATGTCCTTGGAAGCGCT